TTTCAATTTTTGCTATAGTTTTACACATATAGGGAAACTGAATGACCTCCTGGGTGGGGCCAATTTTGGCCCCAGAGCTTTTATTTGAACAAACTTTGTAGACAATCACTAGAAGATGTTTCCTGCTTAATATCTAAACTCTAGCTATTTGGTTTTTTCCAAAGAAGATTTTTTAAGTTTTTCCTATACACATATAAGGAAATTTGGAAAATCAATGACCCCCAGGGCCGGCCAAATTTTGACCCCAGGGCTTTTATTTGAACAAACTTGGTAGACACCCATTAGAAAATGTTTCATGCTAAATTTCTTAGCTCTAGCTCTTTGGGTTCTTTAAAAGAAGAATTTTTAAGTTTTCACTATATGTATATATGGAAAATCAATGACCCCCTGGGGTGGGGCCAACTTTGACCAAAGGGCTTTTATTTGAACAAACTTGGTAGACATCCATTAGAAGATGTTTCATGCTAAATATCTTAGCTCTAGCTCTTTTGGTTCTTTAAAAGAAGAATTTTTAAGTTTTTACTATATGTATATAGGGAAAATCAATGACCCCTGGGGCGATGCCAATTTTGACCCCAGGGCTTTGATTTGAACAAACTTGGTAGACATCCATTAGAAGATGTTTCATGCTAAATATCTTAGCTCTAGCTTTTTTGGTTCTTTAAAAGAAGATTTTTTAAGTTTTTACTATATGCATATATAGGGAAAATCAATGACCCCCTGGGGCGGGGCCAATTTTGACCCCCAGGGCTTTTATTTGAACAAACTTGGTAGACACTCACCAGAAGATGTTTCATGCCAAAAATCTAAGCTCTAGCTCTTTGGGTTTTTTAGAAGAAGATATTCTAAGTTTTTTCTTTTGGTTGCCATGGCAACCAGAGTTCTGCATGGAATTAAATTCTTTGAACAATTTTCAAAGGTGACCACCAGAGGAACATTCCTGTGAAGTTTGGATGAAATTGGCTTAGTGGTTTATGAGAAGATGTCATTTAAAGTAAAAGTTTACGGACGACAGAAGGACGGATGACGGACGGATGGACGCCGGACGAAAAGCGATCACAAAAGCTCACCCTGTCACTTTGTGACAGGTGAGCTAAAAAGTTATAGTAAACAAGAACTGTCGGAGGACAGTATTTGCTCGACTATTCAAAAATTGTCACAAGGGTGCTTTATTGAGTATAATAATGCTAATTACCTATGAACACATAAAATTGACCGAAAAGGTACAAAGGACTGTGAAGTTTGGATGAAATTGGCTTAGTGGTTTATGAGGACATGTCATTTAAAGTAAAAGTTTACGGACGACGGACGGACGGATGACGGACAGACGGACGCCGGACGAAAAGCGATCACAAAAGCTCACCCTGTCACTTTGTGACAGGTGAGCTAAAAAGTTATAGTAAACAAGAACTGTCGGAGGACAGTATTGGCTCGACAATTCAAAAATTGTCACAAGGGTGTTTTATTGAGTACAATAATGCTAATTACCTATGAATACATAAAATTGACCGAAAGGGTACAAAGGCTTGTTATTAAGATGTTTTATCAAGTAAATCACTGTTTTATTATTATGAATGCATAAAAATGTCCCAAAAAAGGCACAAACTCTTCAGTAGTTATGGAGATTAAACAGCTTACAAGCAAAACTTTACCAGGAATTTCTAAGTTGAAAAAGGGGAGAAAAATCAGCCTAAATGCAAGATAGAATTATGGATCTTGGTCAGTGACCTTCAATTATGATTCTAAATGCATATGTGAAGTTTTAAATAAATATCTTTAATAGTTATTGAGATATGTAAAACTTGCATGTAAACATTAATCGAAAAGGGGAGATGAATTAGCCTAAATGCTAGTAGAGTTATGGAACTTGGTCAGTGACATACAATTATGACTCTCCAATTATGACCCTAAGTACATGTGTAAAGTTTCAAGTAAATATCTTTGAAGACCTTTAACCTTTAACCAAAATTTCTAAGTTTCAAAGGGGCAAATAATTCTGCAAATATTGCAGGCAGAGTTATGCAATTTTGCAAACTGATGTACATTGTTACTATAAAAAGTATTGTAAATTTTAATTGAATATCTCAAGCAATAATTGAAATATTTGACTTTACAAAAAACTTCTGTAAATATTGTAGGCAGAGTTATCCAACTTGTCAATCTGATGTACATTGTTACTATAAATAAGTATATTGTAAGTTTCAATTGAATATCTCAAGCAATAATTGAGATATTTGACTTTACAAAAAACTTTAACCAAATTTTCTAAGTTAAAAAGGGGCATAATTCTGTAAATATTGTAGGCAGAGTTATCCAACTTGTCAATCTGATGTACATTGTTACTATAAATAAGTATATTGTAAGTTTCAATTGAATATCTCAAGCAATAATTGAGATATTTGAATTTACAAAAAACTTTAGACGCCGAGGCGACTACAATAGCTCTCATATTCTTCGAATAGTCGAGCTAAAAATAACATTTTTCAAGTAAAAAAATCTAAGTTGATGGGGAGATAATTCTTGCAATATTGGTGCTAGAGTTATGACCCTTGTCACATAACATATGGTTAATGATAAGGCACATATTATTTGAAGTATGAAGTTGATCCCATAACCTTTTACCCCATGAGCATATTGCGAAAAATGGCCGTTTTCATTGAAAAGCCTCCTGTAACAAGTTCAAACTGCTATGAAACTATGAAAAATGCTTCAATACTGATGAAACTTGGCACAAATGTTGACTACACCATAGCCTCTGTAACAGCATGCTCAATTGTAAATTTCCTGTTACCATGGCAACCGGCATTTTTTCACTGTTTGAGGCCTCAAAAGGAAAGTTCAAGGGGAGATAAATCTGAAAATATTGGTGCTAGAGTTATGAATCTTGTCACATAAGGTGTGGTTGATGATCAGGTACATATATTTGAAGTATGTACATGTAGTTGATCCCTTAAGAAATAAAGTAGTTACAATAAAAAACAATATTTTTTAAGGAAAATTCTAAGTTCAAGGGGAGATAAATCTGAAAATATTGGTGCTAGAGTTATGAACCTTGTCACATAAGATGTGGTTGATAATAAGGTACATATATTTGAAGTATGAAATTGATCCCTTAAGAAATAAAGTAGTTACAGTAAAAAATAGTAATTTTTAAGGAACATTCTAAGTTCAAGGGGTGCTAAATCTGAAAATATTGGTGCTAGAGTTATGAACCTTGTCACATAAGATGTGGTTGATGATAAGGAACATATATTTGAAGTTTGAAGTTGATAACTTAAGAAAAGACAAAGTTATAGTGAAACATATTTTACCGCACCAAACTTTAATCTGAAATATTGACGCGAAAGCATACGCCGACGTCGAGGCGAGAAGGACAGCTCTCCATATACTTCGTAAAGTCGAGCTAAAAAACTACCTTATAATGCTACAAAGTTTGGTGATCATCTATCAATTATTTCAGTAGGAAATGTTCAAAGGTTTTTCTATTTTTGGCTTAAGTGGCCCCTAAAAGGGGCCAATCAAATTAATATGAGCAAACTTGATAAAAGCGTACCTAAGAATGCTACAGACAAAGTTTGGTGATCATCCATCAATTAGTTCTGTAGAAATAGACGTTTAAAGGTATTTCTATTTTAGCTTTAGAGACCCCTAAAAGGGGTCAATCAAATTAATACGAGCAAAATTGATAAAAGACTACCTAAGAATGCTACAGACAAAATTTGGTGATCATTCATCAATTAGTTCTATAGAAGATGTTTAAAAGTTTTTGCTATTTTTAGCTCTAGAGACCCCTAAAAGGGGCCAATGAAATTTATATGATCAAACTTAATAAAAGACTACCCAAAAATGCTACAGACAAAGTTTGGTGATTATCCATCAATTAGTTCTGTAGAAGAAGATGTCTAAAGGTTTTTCTATTTTTAGCCCTAGAGACCCCTTAAGGAGGCTCATCAAATTAATATGAGCAAACTTGATAAAAGACTACCCAAGAATGCTACAGACAAAGTTTGGTGATTATCCATCAATTAGTTCTGTAGTAGAAGATGTTTAAAGGTTTTTCTATTTTTAGGGCTGTTGACCCCTAAAAGGGGCCAATTGAAATCACATGAGCAAGTTTAGGTGTGACTGTCACAAGGATGCTACAGACCAAATTTGAAGTAAATCTGTCAAGCGGTTTCAGAGAAGAAGATGATTGTTGACGCATGACGACGGAGTATCCCCCTTTGATACTAATAGCTCACCCTGAGCCTTCAGCTCTGGTGAGCTAATAAAACCATAAGGGAAACCTCAGGTGCACAATATCACATGCTGAGCAACATTCCTGTAAAGTTTCAAGTCAAATACTTTTTGAGCTACATGCGATTCAAGTTGAAAATGAAAAATTTTACTAAGTCAAAGGCAATAACTCTACAAATACTAAAAACATTTACACATCTCCAAAATGAGAACAGAAGAAAGGATGGACAGATGGACGGACGTGCCACTTAAATGGACTAAAGGGCCATTTCTTTTGTTATTTTCTTTTGTTTAATAGAGGGCCATGGCCCCTTATTCTTTTGTTACGGAATGAACTCTATTGTTCTCTTTTGTTCTGTTTACTGTTAGATGGCCCCCTAACCCTATTTGGTTGCTCAGATGGACAGAGGAACAGACAAGGGTAAATCTAAATGCCCCCCCCCCCCTATAGCATGGGAACAAAAATATTACCATTGTTACAGTTTGCAGAGAGTAATGGGATCATATGCCATGACTGCACTACAACTAATTGTTTACCCAAAGTAAAAATATCTCAGAATCTGGCTTTATTATATCAATATATCATAACTGTAGCAATAACTCAATTTTTTTTTCTTCTAAAAGGTAGAGCTGAAAACCATAATCAAATGTTAAGACAATGCCAACTTTAATCCAAGCAAGAATTGGACAGATCTGCATTTCTTGGGAAAGTCAAACTAAAATTAATCAATTCAACATTTCAAAAAATATCTCATATCTCTTACCAGTTAGACGGGTCAGCATTTGGACTGATGTAGACAGTTTTATCACTCAATGTACTATTATCATCCTTCTTAAACTTTGGGCACACACATTTACACCTCGCATCTTCAAAGCTTGTCTTTGTTGGAGTGCCATCCTGAAATCAACACAAAAAAAATAATATAACAAGTGGGCCATGATGGACCTGGATCTGTAGCCAAGGGTCGCCGGCAGGGCCTTCGCTTTGGGGTCTTGTGGGGAAATCGAACTCGCTGGCTTAGTGAACGCCCTACATGGAATTTGATGGAAACCCTCATTTGGTTGTGGTGGGATACTGGTTTATTATTATTTTAGTTCTCTAAACCATGAATTCCAGTATTCTCTTTGTTAAATATGATGCATAAATGACACAATACAAAATGTCCAGTTCAAGTTAATTCTTTTTTAAATTTTTCACTGTGATGGAAATAGTTTATCAAATGTGTAGTATAATTTATAATAATGTCCACAAATATCATAATTCAGCTAACACCTGAATTTTCTCAAGTTACTGTTAAGTTGTAAGTTTTAAATACTATAGATGTTGTTAATTCCGAATTTAAAATAAGACTTAAGATGTTGTATGTTCCAAATTCAAAATAAGACTATTAGATGTTCTAAGTTCCGAATTCAAAATAAGACTGATTTAAAATATAAAAATCAACAATATAAATTAAGAAAGAGTTGTCATAGTGATTAAGCCTTAAGCTATATTAGCAATAATGTCAAAAGATAATCAAGTATGGCTTGTTTGATAAAAGACTAGGAAATTGAGAATTAAGCCATAAAGTATTAAAATCAAAAAGCCATAAAGTATTAAAATCAATAGGTGATAAGAAGGAAGACGGACAAAACCCCACCAGTCAAAACCCCACACCTCAAAATTTAATAGAGTGGACAAAACCCCACACCTAAATTTTACAGAGTGGACAAAACCCCACACCTTCAATTTTACAGAGTGGTCAAAACCCCACCACCTTTTATTATTGGGCAAGATTTGATGGATTAAAATACATATAATATACATATATCTTAATATAATCAAACACATTATTTTATTTTTATTTCAAATGCAATCAATAAAACATGTGTGTAATATAAGAAAGAACAATTTTATTAACAATGCATGTTCAACTTTATATTTGTATATAACAAGTTTTATTTAATTGCTTTTGTTTTACTTGTTATATCAAGTAACGTCTTTATAACATGTGCAAGATTAGAAAACAATTTTACTCTCAAAAAGGTGTTACAAACTGTACACAGAAAAACCTTAATCCAAATCCCTAAAGAACCATGTATTTTTTTTTTTTTTATTTTCAATTCATTTATTCACTCAGATCATACAAACATGACAACATGAGGTAATAATACAATTACATGTACATAATAAATGCGGCTTATCATAATAACATGATATATAAATTGTTAACAAAAATATTGCGGGAGAGTCAGTATTAAAACAAATACTTCAATAGGGTTCTCCACAACATTAAATTTATACAATTTTTGGCTCATTTGAATCTTAATATAATTTCTTTAATAAATAAACAAAGTTTTTTGTAATCTGGAAGGTTAACATCAGTGTTCAAAAGAAGATCAATAGAATGTATATTATGTTTCTTTAAACAGTTATGTTTCAAAAAAAGTTTCCTGCTGTTTTCAAAACACGGACACTCAAAAATATAATGAAATTCATCACCAATTGATCTATCACACAGTGTACAGACACGCCTGTTAAGTTCGATGTTGTTCCAACTTCCGGTTTCTACTGGCAATTTGTTATTTCTTGTTCTAAATTTTATCATGTATTGTAAAAATTTTGATGGAGTTTTTACAAGATATGTTTCAAAACAAAAAATATGTTTGAATAATCTATAATTTGTTGATTTACTAGAATTCTCAATATCAGAATACCACTCATTTAAAAATAAATCTGATAATTTTTGTTTGACTGACATCGTTAACCATTTATGGTTATGAAATTCATGGTTATGCCAAATGTTGTACAGTCCACATTCATACAAAATATTCTGAACAAACAAATTTAATCCACTGAAATCTTAATCTAGATACAGTCTGGGAGTTATTAAAATTATTTAACAAAATACGATATATCAAACACGGTAACTTGTTCTGTCGTGGTATGACTAAGTCAAACAAATATGATATAATTCTACATTTAATTTCAATAGATAGTGGTTTAACACCAGTTTCACCGTAAACCATACAATTTGGTGTACTTGACTTTAAACCTAGAATATATTTTAAAAATTTAAGCTGTACTCTTTCAATACAATCAATATTACCAAAACCCCATATCTCACATCTGTACAGTAGGACAGATTTTACAATTTTGTTAAATAAATCTATTTGCATGTCAATTGGCAATTCTAACGTTTTACAATTTTTTTATAAGACTATACATAGCTTTGCACCCCTGTTTCACGATAGATTATTTTGCTTTGGAAAAGGAACCACTTCTACTGAAAAGAATACCAAGATACTTATACTCGTCTACAACTTCTAAAAGTTCATTTCTGTAAGTAAAATTATATGACATGCGTCGTCCACTTGTAAAAACCAAAGTTTTAGTTTTTGTTGAGCGTAAGTTTCCAGGTATCACAATAGTTTTTATAAATATTTAAACCATGTTGTAAGTCATCTTTTTTTTCAATATGTACATATAGTAAAACAAGAACGTGTCTGTTAAACACAAATGCCCCCGGCTCAGATTCTTATCAGTAGCAATATTTCAAAATATGTTTACCCATTCACTCAGTTATGGACAGAAAAATTGCCAAAAAATTGTAAACACAAGTTATATAGCTTGACAAAGTCATGGCATTTTGTAATGGTGAAAAATATAAGTTGCCAAGTCATTGCTCTGACTTGTGAAGTTGAAAAATATTTAACTTCATGCAAGTTATCTTCCTACCAAATATGAAATACATCTGTCATTAAATTAAGGCTGTATGGGCAAAAGTGTAAAAATCTATTTTGAGCACTGGTGACCTTGACCAAACTGACCCCTAACTCTATCCAAAAGAATAATACCATGTAAGTTATCTTCCTACCAAATATGAAATACATCTGTCAATAAATAAAGGCTGTATGGGCAAAAGTGTAAACATCTATTTTTAGCACTGGTGACCTTGACCCAACTGACCCCTTACTCCATCCAAAGGAAGAATACCATGCAAGTTATCTTCCTACCAAATATGAAATACATCTGTCAATAGATAAAAGCTGTATGGGCAAAAGTGTAAAAATCTATTTTTAGCACTGGTGACCTTGACCCAACTGACCACTTACTCCATCAAAGTTAATGTTTCAATCAATTATAAACAGCACCTATCTATAGAATAAGGTCAATACACCTGTAAAAATGTAAAAATCTATTTTTAACATTGGTGACCTTGACATTGGTAACATTGACCTTGACCTAAATGACCCCTTACTACACCCAAAGAAGGAGGACCTCCCTTGGCATGTTTGTATTAAACTAAGACATCAACTAAAAAATAAAGGCTGTATGAGCAGAAATGTTTAGATTTATTTTTTAAACCAGTGACCTTGACCCTAGAGACCGCTTACTCCACAAACAAGAGCTGTCGGTAGGACAGCAACGCTCTACTATTCTTAGTGCTTGATAGTAAAAACAAGAGGGCCATGATGGCCCTGGACCGCTCCCCTGACCCATCAACCGCATCCAAGCAATGTCTTAGACAAGCATCTTGGCCAAGTTCGATGACAATTAAATAAAAAATGTGACCTCTAGTGTGTTAAAAAGATTTTCTATATTTGGGAAATGCGACCTAATTTTTGACTGGAGACGACCCATATTCGAACTTGACCTAGAAATCATCAAAACAACCTTTGTGACAAATTTCCTGGATATTTGGATCAAAACTGGAGCCACTACAGTGTTAACAAGATTTTTTTTAGCTCCTGTGACCTAGTTTTTGACCGGAGATGACCCATCTTCGAACTTGACCTAGAAATCATCAAAAAAAACATCCTGACAAAATTCCAGAATATTTGGCTCAAAATTGCAGCCAGTAGAGTGTTAACAAGCTTTTTCTATTTTTAGCTCCTGTGACCTAGTTTTTAACAGGAGATGATCCATCTTCAAACGTGACCTAGAAATCATCAAAACAACCTTCCTGTCAAATTTCCAGAATACAGTCGGCATCGTACTTGCGGCCACCTTTATTAAGCGACTTTTTTATTAAGCGGCCGCATAAAATCCCTCCCGATGATTTTTACTATTTAATTTAATTCCATTAAACGACTATTTTATATCGCGGCCAGCGGCCACTGAATGTCGGCCCAAATGTACAAAATTAAGTGTTAAAGTATCTATTAAACGGCCGTGACAAACAATCGTCCCTGCGGGCATTCTCACCTGTGTAATTAGCGAGTAGGTTAGATGTGTACAAGCAAACAAACAAATAATTTTCATGGTCATTGGTCACAAATAATTGTTGTTTAAAAACGAAATGAATAACAATTGCAATCGTTTCAAAATCGGATTTTCCGATCGTAATATTTATTGTGACATATTTTGTCAGAGCAATAACGTATCACAACACCGCGTTTGCATAGTTTTGTCAATGTGCTGAGAGTGACCTCCCTTATCGAAAATGATGTCGGATCGAGCGAAAAAAAGACAGACAACTAATAAGACCGGATAAATTGTATGAGGAAATCGTGCATGGAATTGAGTCTGAGTAAAATAGCAAATGTCATCGATTGTAGTCGAAATAAAATCGTGAAACCTAGTAGACTAAACATTACAGAGTCGAGCCTTTCATTGCTGATGGTGTAGGTGCTCATCTGATGCTTTACAAAATACATGTTAGTATCCCATTAAATATGACCTTCGACAAAAAAAAGCAAAAAAATCCTAGATCTCTAAAATCTTATTGAATTTGAAATTGGGGTAGTGTGAAAAACTAATTGTTGAAAAAATCAAGAAGTTTATTAAAACTCATTGCATAAATAATTATCTGGAGCTCTGGCTGATGATTCTAAAGTATGTTCAGCAGGAGATGTGTATGAACATATTAAAAATATAAGACAATATGCTTTGTATCATGGTCAAGATGACCTGTTTACAGTATTATGAGCGTAAAACACATTTGTACACAAATTTCTACTAAAAATAAAAAACAAACAATATTGATGACTTTTTTTTTAAAAAAAAGGCATAAATGTAATTATAAAACGGTAATACATACATAATATTGTATAGTTTTTGTTTTTATAAAAAAGATGTTATTATATCTATGACTTGTAATAAAAAGTCTCGAATTTTCCAGAATTCTATTGAGAGACCACTTTATTAAGAGGCCACTTTTTGGCAGTCCCTTGAGTGGTCTCTTAATACAATGTCGACTGTATTTGTATCAAAACTGCAGCCAGTAGAGTGTTAACAAGCTTTTTCTATTTTTAGCTCCTGTGACCTAGTTTTTGACCAGATACGACCCATCTTCAAACTTGACCTAGAATTGATTAAACAACCTTCCTGACAAATTTCCAGAATATTTTAATCAAAACTGCAGCCAGTAGAGTGTTAACAAGCTTTTTCTATTTTTAGCTCCTGTGACCTAGTTTTTGACCAGATACGACCCATCTTCGAACTTGACCTAGAAATTATCAAAACAACCTTTCTGACAAATTTCCAGGATATTTGGATCAAAACTGCAGCCACTAGAGTGTTAACAAACTTTTTCTATTTTTAGCTCCTGTGACCTAGTTTTTGACCGGAGATGACCCATCTTCAAACTTGACCTAGAAATCATCAAAACAACCTTCCTGACAAATTTCCAGAATATTTGGATCAAAACTGCAGCCAGTAGAGTGTTAACAAGCTTTTTCTATTTTTAGCTCCTGTGACCTAGTTTTTGACCGGAGATGACCTATCTTCGAACTCGATCTGTATTTCATTGAGACAAACATTCTGACAAAGTTTGACAATGATCCAATCAAAACTGTGACTGCTAGACTGTTAACAACCCAATTGTTGATGACGAACGACGCACGACGACGGACATAGCCCCATCACTATACCTCACCTTGACCACTTCGTGGTCCGGTGAGCTAATAAAGAACTTATAGTTGAAAAAACGTAAAAACTAGAATCAGAAATCTTGAAATTCATATAATTTGTTGCCATAGAAACCAGAATTTTCAACATAGGGAGAAAAGAGAAGGATGTGCATAATCTCCAGACTGCCATCTACCCATAATTTAAGTTTCATAAAAATATTTTCAATACTTTTTGCATTATCACTGGTACCAGGTTATGTGTAAAATTTGCCATATTTTCAGTCTATTTGTTGCCGTAGCAACCAGAATTTTCAACATAGGAAGAAAAGAAAAAGACGTGCATAATCTCCATACTGCCATCTATCCATATATCAAGTTTCATAAAAATATTTTCAGTACTTTTTGCGTTATCGCGGGATCCAGTTTTGTGGACAGACAGACTGACAGACGGACTGACGGACAGAGTAGGGGACTAATAATAATGATAATAATAATACACCGAGAGTAGGTGGTCAATTCCCAGGATTACTATATGTTTAATACGATCCCGGATCCTGGCTTTTCTAATATTCTATAGGCGATCCCGGGATTTTCCCCCCCCCTCTGAAATCTTGACTGCAATGCATAATAACGGTAGTTAAATAGAATGCGAAATGGACTCCATTTCACGAAATGAACTTTTTGACTACGAAATGGACATTTGTTTCTTAAATTTTGGTTTAAGTGTACTATTTAAAATCATTTTAATAACGAACAAGTGATATATGACATAAAATTGCTATTAAAACAATTTTGGTAATTTTTTTTTCATTACTTATGCTTGCACATTTGAAAATAATCGTATAATAATGCCACATTATAAGTTCAGTAGGGATTAAACGATGATCGAGTATAATCGAAAATTGATCGTTTATAGAACCGATCAGCGATGATCGATTACAAAGTTTAATAATCAATTATCGGTAATTTATTTTCTTGCTGTTACTTAAGTGACTCACTGTATTATAACAACACTAAATTAAAGCCAGTTTTGGTTGAAACAATAATTTTTATTCAATTGAATATGAAAGTACATGTATACTGGTGACCATGGAGTTAATAGTTGACTGTGAGGCATGCTAGTTTAAAGGTATACTAGGCCTGAAAAAAAAATATGTCTGTTTCGGGTAACCCGACCCTACCTATAAAAATGAGCCGACCCTAACTATTTTTTTCCGTTTCTGAACAAAAAAAAATATTCGTTAGCGAAAAGAGAGTTTCAAAGGGCGGATAAATGCGAATTGAACGCTTGAGACGCTGTCGTAAAACGTTCAGACGATTTAGATCGGTCATTTTTAGTTATATGTGTTTTGATTGGCTCTTGCTGTATTGCGGTCCAATTGGAAACTAAAATTCTACAGGTAGACGATATTTTTAGATGGTAATTCCTACCGGAAGTATTCTCCGGCTTCCGTTTTACATACATTGACATAGAGCGGAGCGGGGAACCACGCACGTGTTGCGGGGGAACACTTCCGATTTAGGAATTTCTTCTACATGTAGAATTTTTCTTAAAATACAGGCACATGGGACTTAGTGCCACTCGTGGAGGATAAAACCATTTAAAAGTATGTAAAACCCAGTTTGCATGTGTGTTCGATCCGTTTGATATCTTTGTTGAGCATAAATACCAGGCTACAATGTACATGTCATGACGGTCCCATCTTTCGGACCTGGGTGATTTCTGACTTTCTGGCTTTACTGTGGTAATTTACGTGTAAATAAGGATCTGTTCATAGACAACAAGTGATATATGACATAAAATTGCTATTAAAACAATTTTGGTAATTTTTTTTTCATTACTTATGCTTGCACATTTGAAAATAATCGTATAATAATGCCACATAGTTCACTAAGTTCAGTGTTTTATACATGGTCTTTCAAATAGAAAGATTCTGTTTTATATCATATGTTTATTGTTTAACCTGGGACAAAAAAATTTTTGTCGTCCCAGATTAAACGTTAGTGAATAGAAAAGATACCCTTTGTGACATGTCAGTTACACCATAATTTGTAAAGCAAATGTCCATTCCATAAGCGAAAACTCCATTTTGTGGCCGAAAACTCCATTTCGTAGCAGCCAGATTATTTTCAGAAATATTACTATAAAATAGGAAAATAGTAATATTAATTGGTTCAATCTGTAGTTTTATGTCATATGTTAAACATAAATTAATAAGAATAATATTACTCATCACGGTTAAACAAACAAATGTCCATTTCGTAGACGGTAAGTTCATTTCGCGAAATGGAGTCCATTTCGCATTCTATTACAACCTGCCTAATAATAAATAGGAAGTGGCTAGCCGTACGACTAGCCAAAAGTTCTAGCTGTACGTGAGTCACGTATGACTAGCCAGGACTCACTGTATTGTCTAGCCGTACGGCACTTTTCAAAATTATGTGGAAGTCGAACATGCATACTATGTTACTAAGTGCCTCATGATTATGATTTGATGTTTTATTTGTATGAAAGATGAATTTTTGTTAAGCACATGGATTGAATAAATAATGATCAGAGTGGAATAATTGAAAATTGAAAAAAAAAAAAAAAAAACGGTGAAAAGCAAAAATAATTGTATATTTTTCAAATAAAGTAGATAAATATTGAACATAAAAGCACAATTAATTCATTAGTCTTAATTAAAGCCTACCCAGGGACTGACAATAGAATTTTAAAATGCGTTTCACGGAACATGCAAACTTTCCTTATATTAATAAAGTTCTATACTGTACCGTCTGTATTAAACTTAAGGAAACAAAAAAGGATTATCATCAAAATTTTGTAAACCAGTGTTAGACACTAACGCAGTCCCGCGGTCCCGAGGACTCCAAAAATTGGCAAGGGATTTCTTAAGTTCCAAGTCAGATGTCCCGTTGGGACTTTTAAGTTTTTAAGTAAAAAATATACTAAACAATTAAAATTGATCTTTAATCAACTTTAAAGTATTCATTTAAGATGGTAATCTTGCAAAAAAAGTATTTATTAAACGTGATAAACTTGCAAAAAGTAAACCGGAAATGAAACATTGTTTACAAAACACGAAAATTCTCCACATACCAAACATTCCAATGTCAGTATTTGCCGATATTTTGCTGTATTTTCAACCAGCATAGTAACAAGAGCTGTCGGTAGGACAGCAACGCTCGACTATTCTTAGTGCTTGATGGTAAAAAAAAATGCTTGATACAGTTACCTCCTCCTGTTTACAGGTTGGGGTCATGATGGTGAACAAGTGTGCAAAGTTTCAAAGCCAATATGTCAATGGACTTTGAAAATATTTGAACTATTACAAAAACTTTAACATAAGTTGTTACGCCGACGCTGACGCCGACGCTCGGGTGACTACAATAGCTCTACTTATTCTAATCGAATAGTCGAGCTAAAAATGATATGTTTTATATAGTTTTGTTTAATATATGATGTTTACTATGATGTTAGAACACTTACACCGTGGAAAAAGTCGGCAATTCCATAATCAATAGTGTACTACATTTCGGATAAACACATTCAGATGCGTGATATTTTTGGGATTTTTTTTTAATATACCGATTTTGTGATTATATTTTAAATGCAATAATGATAATTTGTTCCTGTCTTATCATGTCATTGATATCATTATGTAAAGGAATTATGAGCAAAAAAGCTTTTTTGCAGTAACTCATTTTCTTCTTTTCAATGACTAGTTTACACTTATTCAAGTAGACCTAATACAGCAATTGCATATTATAATATCAAATGAAAATTACTTACTGCATAACTACAGACAAAGGGACAAAATAAATTATATGTATTGAAGTCAGTAATATTTAGGACATATTTTACAAGACCTATAAGCACTTCCAACTGCATGTATGATTTTGTTACCAAACTTAATAATGCTGGAAGGAAACATAGAGTATTTCGTTCCTTCATCACTTAATGTTATCACAGATCCATGGGCTATCAGGGCCTTTTTACTATTTTTGGGGAAGGGGCCCTAGCCCTTTTTGTGGGGAAAATATGCGCGATTTTCGCACTTTTGGGGAAAATATCTATTTGTATATTTTTATATGTTAAAACACATTTCAGGTTTACATAAGTCTAAGAACTTAATTTCAAACATCAACAAATAAAAAGGCATTTCTGAAGATGAATTTATTGTCACTGCACATCTATACAGTTATGTTTAATAACAGTTTAATGTTAATTTATAACTTCATCTCCCTCTTTTTTTTGTCCTTGAAAATTGAAACCAAATTTTCATAATCCTCATCCCCAAAAGCCTGAAGAGTGTCCTGCATCAAAGAAATGCGCATCATGGCATCCAGTGTTATCTGCCCCATAGATGTTCTCAGAAATGTGCAGATGTCATTCATGACACTAAAACCCCGTTCCACAACAGCTGTTGATTGGGGAATCAACAGTGCCAACTTAAATAGCTTGTAAACTCTGGGGAAACAAGCTCGGATAACTGGGTCTCTTTCCATGGCCCTATACACTTTTGTTACAGAGTCATCTCCTCTTTGCCTGTGAAAAAGACAAAATATATGTGAAACTGTAAATTAATGTTTCATATTTTAGTTTGAATGGTATTGCTTTGTAAATGTATGTTAGGTCATTATTATCAGCAGGTGAAATTTAAATTAAAACCTTAATTTACAGCTTATGAATTCAGATTAAAATTTGATAGATATTTCAGTTTTCTAAGAAAATAATAGTGAATTTGGTAAAAAGTAATTAATAAAATTATTTTATTTTTTTCTTTTTAGTTCAAATTAAATTTTATATTACTGACAACACAAACAAACAAAAAAACACAAGAACACTGGAAAATGTAAAGGAGTATAGTCAAAGAAAGAGTGTAAATTTTCATGAATACAAATCCAATTCTACAGATAACAACAGTTGAACCAAAAAACTAAACCTGTAATCCTGCAAATCAAAGAAAACAGTAAAATCAACTGCAAACTTTTAATATTTACTAACTTGTACATGAATAATTGGGGCTTAAATGTGTTCAATTCATTAGTTACAATTTCTGTACTGTCTAATTCTGGTGGTGCAACAGTTCTATGACCTGGAATTCATCATGTTGCTCTTTCCCATAAAACTCTGCCAATGTTTGAGTGTGATTCTGCCAACAGTAATTATTATAATGTAATGAAAGCACTGAGACTTCAGATTACAATCACAACCACTTCAACTTAAATTACAATGTGTGTTTTTCGATATCTGAAAATATATAACTACCTTGCCATATTCTGCTATTTCAGTAACACTATCTGGAAGATTGCCAGGGTCTAGCACGCTAAATGCCGACAATACAGCCGAGTGATTGCAGAAGGCATCTGCAATCTCATTGATAAGGTCATAAACCATTGGCACTCCCTTCAGTCGCAAAAAATTCTGAAAAAAGTATATAGAGTTTCAGTAAGACAATATTACAAAATGAAACTAGTTTCACTAGATAAAGCTGTTAAAATGAAAAAGGCATATTTTAAAACATCATTCATTTGTGAGCAAGTGTTTTGAATTCTTTTTTCAGAACTTGATTGTTACAACAACAGAAAGATTAATTTGAGTCAACTGTTTGAGGCATTGATTTGAAGAAAGTGAAATTCCACAATACTACTACTGGGCAATCATTGAATGATTTTTATACTTCTAACTTAAATAAAAAGACAATAAGAAAAACAAAAACATCTGGATTCATGTCTCTGTCATCAGCTCTCATTCGTCTGGCAAGATCAGTCCTGTCCCTAACAACACCCAGAAGCTCTTGACATTTCCTGATAATATTACAAATATATCTATTGCAATAATACAAGTAGTTAACTTACAAATTATATGGGGTTTTTTTAAGTGTATATCCTTTCTTTTTCAATTTGAGACTGATCATTGACAATACTTAATTCAAATAAAATCTATAAATTATATACAGTGCAGCATCTAAAACAGTGTCTGAAATAATTAGAATCCATGAAAACTAAAGTGTGTAGGTAGAAGTAAGTAAATGATATTTAAAGGCCTTTCTAAGTTAAGATATATCAATCAGATCTGGAAACCATGGCATATGACAAATAATGTACATATAAAATTACCCAAATTCCAAACTCCTGGTAGTTACAGCTCTCATCCCTTATTGAAAATTTTTCCTGGAGCTCTTTTGGAAAACTTTTTTAAATTCTTGCGGGGTTAAAATCGGGTAAAATTTCCCACAAATTTTCTTGAAAAATATAATGTTTTAAGGAAGTTGACTCCCCTTTAAAGAATGTAAAACAAAAAATTTAGCCCGGGGAAAAAATAAGGGGCCGGGCTGAGTAAAAATTTATGCTTTATACCTTTGAGTTTTGGTTTTTTGGGGTTTTTTCAAAAAGGGGGGCATAAAAGGGTGCCCAAAGTATGGCCCCCAAACCCTAAAAAACCAAACCCGGGCCCACTTGCTTTTTCAGGTTTGACAACCACCTTTTAAAAAATTTAACAAAAAAAGGGAAATACAATTTTTTTATCCAATTAACTAAAATGAAAAACTTTGGGGTTGTAGTTTTAAATAAAAGATTTTTTTGAAATTTTTAGGTATGAAGTCTTGACATAACTCTGACTTTCATCAAGTCATATTATAGTTTATTTCTCATATAAACAATATCATACAACATTAGTTAAGAAGACCATTTTTTCTGTAAAAAGCATACCTAGTGGTGGCTGCTCTGATAAATTTCAAAGGCTTCAGCCCATAAACACCTGAATTGCCTCGAACACGGCTGCTTTTTTTGGCGAATAGTGAAACATCTTATATATGCCTAGCAAAACACGGTCAACTTCTTCTAACTCCTGGTTTCTTTTTTAACCATATGGACCAGACACAAGGCAAGGCGGTGATTACGACAATTGACATATATCGACAGTGGGTTTTCATGCCGTTTTCTTTTCTGTAGACCTGAAAAATATGAAATGGATGATAAGTAAAATAAAAAAAATTAGCTTTAAGATCATTTAACAAAATATTGAATTTTTTCATGTTATACTATAGAAATTACTTACAAATGCATTTAAGAAATGTTAACAGTATTTTGAAATCTATTCAAAGTTTAAAGAATTACTTCAGCCAAAACATTTACCTTTATTTTCACCGCTCATTGCATTGCACCCATCCAAGCCAACAAATCTGATGTTGCGCAGTTCAATGCCTGTGAATCATAAACAAATTATTTACAAAAATACAATTTGATTAACAAAAATACAATTTGATTCATTTCCCTATCTGTACAGTAAATTAATTACTTTTATTATGTCAAAAGCTTTAATTTTATAGGAACAAGTTTTAACCCTTGAATTAACAACACTAAGCCAGGAAACAAAGGCTTGCTTGAAAGTTCCAGCTGACTGGGTTTGAACCCAGGCTGATAGACTTAGCAATCATTCAATCAGCAAGCATGCTGCCTGTCCTAGTTAAATGAAATGAAGTTATTGTCATTCAAATGTGTTTATTTGTTTCATTTCAATATATCATTATATTTAAGGAAAATGTACATCTGAAAAATATGAAGACAATTTTTCTTGACTACGTACCTTTGCCTAAGCAAAATACACGGATACCATCCATCAGGGCTGCACTACTCGTTCTTTCTACATTAATGAGACCCATGTATGATTCCTTTACTTCTCCATTCCCTACCCAACGAGCAAAGACTGAAAGCTGTGTACGGTTTGCCTGATCTGTACTCTCATCAGCAAGTAAAGTAAATTTTTTCCCACGAAGATCTGTCAACAATTTATTTTCAAGGTAGTCACTAAGAATACCAATTATTTCTGTGACTGATGTACTAGATGTATATGTGGTGTTCCCGCTGAAAATATCTACAATGTCTGGGTCACAAGTTGTGCCCATAAACTGGACAACATCTTTGAAGTTTTCAGAAAGAGCCCATTTTTTTTTTTTATCATGAATCCACAGGTTTTAAACAATTTTTTCAAATAGTTCCTATTTTTGGCAATAAGTGCATCTTCAGATGTGGTATGGGTCTGCATAACAGTTCTTGCAATATTTACATTACATAATGATGAGGTGTATCTGCTTAAACTGTTTTTATGTGATTGACTCTTCTCATGAATTTCAAGACGTCTTGTAGGGTGTTGCCCAAGAACTGCACCACATGTTATGTATGGCGTGGATTTGTTTAGTTTAGGGGCAAATAACTCACAATACTTGCAAATATAACCCTTTTGAGTTCCACTGTAATACAGCCAGGAAAATTTTGACTCGTATTTCCCAACAGAAAATCTACGCAGGTCATGCTCAGAAGATAAAGTGCTGTCAGTTCCAGCTTTATCAATATTATTTATGCTGAGCTCCTGTTCAGGGGGAGTACATTGACTGCTGGATAATATAGGAGATACACTAGCACTAGTAGCAGTAGCAACAGCAGGGTCATTTGCGCTGGACTTCGGTTCAGTGGGTTTAGATGTTATAATAGGTGCTGTAGAAGGTGTTAAACTCACAGCTTGGTCATCAAATCTTCCCTTTTTAAAATAATTTGTCAAAGTTACAGTACTACGAGCATCATTCGCTCTTATTTTCTTCTTGTACGCTCGCCAATTGTGCGACATTGTTTACACTAACGTAAATCAGCAATCATGTCGTCATGTCGTAAAAATGATGCGTTAATCGGAATATCTTCGGTTATAACAGCTCAATAGGAAAGGGCCGAAAAGTTGCGATTGATGACACCTATGCCAGAACGAGGCCGGCGATTTTTCCCCTTGTTGTTTTTTGAAAATTGCCATATCAGACCGAGGCTACGAGTAAACAGCCAATGCATTGAATTAAGGCATCCCTCTAGTTGCGAAATGAATCATACCTTTTATTGGACAAAACAGCGGTCTATTTTTACACGAAAAAGTTTGTTTACAAATTTTTACGCTTCGATCTAACTTACAATTTAATGGGGAAATCTGCGCCAGGAGGGGAATTTAAGACATGTTTTTGGGGAAAAAGATAGCTATTTGGGTTGGGGAAGTAGCCGGATACCGGCTACACCAAAGAAGGGTAAAAAGGCCCTGGCTATGATCAACATCCCAAAAAGTAGAACGAAAGAACAATAAAAATAAGTTGCACATCAATTTTGATAGACAAAGGTTATTGCTTTATTCTTAAAATTATATAAAAAAAATCAGGGACTTCCAACTTAGGGAAGGGACTTTTGAATTCAAAAACAGATGTCCCGTTGGGATTCCTGGCTGAAAAGTTAGTGTCAACCCCTGTAAACTATTTCAATTGATGTTGTTTAACTGCGACCAAACGCTATTTTTTCTCAACGTCTTTAGATGACAAAGATAGATATTCGTACTTTTTTTACTGTAGCCAACAAGGCGATTAACCTCTAAAAAGTAAACATACGAAGACAATTGCTGTTTCTTGGTTAAAATCCTCACTTAAAGTCATCAAATAACATATGCATTTTCGACTTCCATATAATTTTGAAAATGCCGTACATCTACAGTAGCCAATACAGTGTGGCCTTGCTAGAACTTTTGGCTATACGGCTAGCCACTTCCTAATATACTCGAACCCCATGATACCGGTGACTCCACGGTACCGGTATATTCACAAATCTCGCGATATTTTTGTCAACACCACCTACCGAGTGTTTATATTGACATGCTCCCAGTAATATTGGCTATTTCAAAGTTTTTAAACATTTTCAAGAGTTTCTGAAGGAAATATTTCACATATCCTACCTCATTTTTATTTTACTATCCTATTTTTCCATTGCATAAATTAGTCTCTCTACAAAACACTTTTTTTCCCAAGAAAATAAAAAATCACAGGTGCTGACGTCATTCAACCTCCATTACATGTCACTTGACCTTTTGACATCATTTTGGCGGGAAAAAATTAATCTATGGAAAGCCATTAGTGCATATAAAATAGTTTACGAAAATTAAAAAGTCAGTTTCATTCAGTCTTTTAAGGGAGCCTGTGTAAAGTGCCATATCGATATTTTATCTTCATCATGTAGAAATACAAGAGCGATCAGTAATCACATGTGTCGCCTCATGATGGCCAATTTCATGTTGGGACAAATTTTGTGACAGACGGACAGACAGACAGACGGACAGTGCACAACTAGACTTGGTACTGATCATTCCTGTAAAGTTTGGATAAAATTGCACCAGTAGTTTATGAGGAGTAGTCCGGACAAGCTTTTGCGTATCTGGCAACACACAGAAAAAAAACACCTTTTTATCAAAGGGCCATAACTCAGCCAAAAATCATTCAACCGGAAAACCCGTGCAAAATGCGCAAGGACTTGAGCTACAGATCAATCCTTTTAAGTTTCATTGAAATTGCATTAGTGGTATAAGAGAAGTAGTCCGGACAAACTTTTAAATGAAAAATTATTAAAGGGCCATAACTCAAACAAAAATCATTGAACCGGAAAATGCTGACAATATGCACAACTAGACATGGTACTGATCATTCCTGTAAAGTTTGGATGAAATTGCACCAGTAGTTTATGAGGAGTAGTCCGGACAAGTTTTGTGACGGACGGATGGACAGACAGACAGACGGACAGACGGACAGACAGACGACGGAGAAGTGATCCCTATATGTCGCCACTACTCCGTAGAGGCGACACAAAAATTGATTCAATGATACAAAAGGACCAGACAATCACAACAACACTAAAATTAAGTGAATGGGTATTTTTAAATCCAGCCACATGGTATAATATACACCTGTAATTGGGAGGAAAAGGTTGTAAAACAGAGACCCCTTGGGAGTCATAAAAGATGAACAATAAATTATTGAAACACACGTTTTTATGTTGTTATTAAGCATTTTTTTTTCAGATATGAATACAAGAATGCTAAAATGATATATTTGCTATTAAAACTGCAATGGCTTTCCATATAAATAACATTTTTACCAGTGCACCGGTAACATGAAGTCTGTTTAACTACGTCATACAAAATGGTCGACCATTGTTTACATTCGCAATGAGCGAGAATTTCAGAGTAACAGAACTCTGTAATGTAATTTTACGAGGATTAAATGTTAATGAAGTTGTTTATTCCTTCTTTTTTTCAAGTCAGTAAATTTTTATATGAAAAACACCTTGTATAAAATATGTACACCGGTATCGTGGAGACCCTGGCTAAATAAAGTACAATGTCAAAAAGTTGTTGCATTTAAATTAGCTGAAATGATAATATTTGCAGAATTGTAAGTGAAAAATAATTTTAATAATTTCACTGTCACTTATTCATTATTATTGTCAAAAAATCTGTTAGCTGATCGGAAAGTGGCTAGACTGAGATATATCGATATATATGCAGGAAAAGAGTCAACTCGGCCCTATACCAACTCGGCACGGGTCAACTCGGCACGGGTCAACTCGGCCCACTTTACAAAAATATATAGGCCTATAACGTATTTACTTTGCTTTGCATGTTGTAAAGGTAAATGAATAATAAGAAATATCTTATTATTATTATATAATTATATATTTTACCTCTGCCGAAATAAAGTATATTTAGGAAAAAAAAGTTATTTATTTGTCTTGCATATTCGATAAAATTAATATAGACACAGGCACGATTATTGGACCTGGGAAGAAAAATATGAACAGATTTATAAATTAACTTCATATTTTTTCTTCCCAGGTCCGATACTTGTGCCTGTGAATATAGATATAATTAAAATGTGTTTTCTAAGATGCATTTTATTTGTAAACTAATTTTGAAAAAAATATGAAACAAAAACGTGTTTACTTAATAGCATAAGCTTCTAATTAATTGCAGGTGGTCACTAATCAAATTTGAATGAATGAGTCAATCATAATTATCACCTAATTAATCGGTATCATTAACATACACATTGATTGATAATAATAGCCTGTGACAGTAGGAGTCCTTTGATGTCTTTTACCCATTTTTTAAAGTGGGCCGAGTTGACCCGTGCCGAGTTGGAATAGGGCCGAGCTGACTCGGGGGCCGAGTATGTTTTAGGACCGAGCTGACCCGGATTCCTATATGCATACAGTAAATGATACTAAATCTACTGCATAAATTTGTGAACAACTGTAAAATAATTTGAATTACCTTGCACAATGCCGATTCTAAATACACAGCTTGTAAAAGTACAATAATCAAAATTGACTGCGGAGTCTTCATATCTTATTACTGTCAGCAATCAAATAGAATTTGGCTTCCTTTTTATAACAGTGTTTAATTTATTTTCCCCTAATTATGATTTTCGGATGTCCTCGGTGTTTAAGTAGTAAGCTAAATACCGGATTCCGTCACTGGGAACGTTTATGCTCCGCTTACTGGTGAAAGGCCCTTGAATCTTCGCCCATTTATTCAACTGCTGCTGTACTAGGTCAGACACTCATATTGATATTTCCATAGACTTACATTATAAGAAATGGTCCCTAATCCTATCTTAAAATTGAGTTTTCATGCTAAAGAGGTAATTTTTCTAGCAGAATGAAATGCCTGACACATAAAAATGTTCCTGTTATATAGGGGTAGCCAACCAAATTTTTTGCAAAATGACTTCAAAGAGGATTACCCCCTCCCCATTTCATTGAAATGTTCTGCTGATCACAGGACTGACATACACTTTCTATAAATGCAAATATCCAAGTCAAAATTATCACAGAGACTCATGAAATATTTCATTTTCTTCAGAAAACAATGTAGAATTACTTTTTAAATTAGTTTTTATACTTAAAAATACCCCACTTTCATCCAATCACCTCATGTATTAATTAATAGAATCATACGGGTTTCCCTGCACTTTTTTCAGCCAATCGCTGGCCATGTTACAATGCGATACCCTGACCTAAAGGGAATATTAAATGTTTAGTATTCTAATATCTAATAATAAACGAAGTTGCATATACAATTACCAATTATATGGATGCATTTTCACCACTCTTAAGTCATTTAAAACTTTGAAGTTCCCTTTTTTCTAACAAGCGCCATTATGCCGCATTCCGGATATTCTGAAAATGAATGTTAGCATGTGATTTTCATACATAATTCATTATTCTGAAGCCAATTTTGTAACAACTTCCATAAAATCACTCAGATAGCAAAACTACACTGTTCTCATTACAGAAGTGCTTCAAAATACTAATTTTGTAACAAAAGGATGTAGCAGGGAGCAATTGTATCACCCATAACAAAATAAGTGTTTTTTCACCCAAATTTCAACATTTTATTACAAATAGACTTCCTGAATGAAGATTTAGCTTAGCAAACATACTTAATAACTACTGTATATTGACCTGATTATGGATTACATATTACATAGCAACATTTTGGGTGTCACTAGATATTTTAAAACTGCCCCTGCTATATTTTTCTACTCATTCAGTCGGATTTGTTTAAAATTGAACATCAGTGGGCATATTTGAATTACAAATTCTTGTCAGACATATTTTCAAGCATAAGAGTACCGGAACAGACATTAGATGTCAAATATATACATTCGTTTTACATTATCTCTGTTACTGTTTACACATGAAACCACGTGGTAGAACTAATTTCAATCCGTATTGTTTCCGAGGTTATTATAGATAATAGCCGGGGCAGTTCCGAATGATATAGGGTAAAGTGATCGTAAGTCGGACACATCGTAGCTTCTTCCGTTTGTAGAATCTATTTTAGAAACATACCGGAATTTCCAAAGCACTTATACACACGGGGGAATACATTAAAATGTGAAAAACAAGCATAATTACTCGGAACCAGTGTAAGAAAAGAATAAAGATCGGGTGTAAAGCCAGGTACCAGCATTTGATGTTGACTCGGACGGATTTGATGTTGAGTTGACACCAATTTTTTTTAACTTGGGCGGTACAAATTACGGTCCCGTTTTAATCGGTATTCATCAAAATAATCGAATGAAATATATGGATGTTGTATTATTGTTCCAGAAATATTATAAACAACATTATATGATATATTATATTTTTAACTAAAGTTTACTAAACCTTTTTTGCATAATTTGTGTGACTGATGATTCTGAGTAAGTTCATTTCTCATCGCTCCCAATGATCAGACTGACTATATCAGAAACGGGGCGTATTTAATGCTTACAAACTAATTTGTATTTTAGTTTGATTAAAGTGCGTACTACAGTGTACTAGAAAGCAGAAAATAAAACATTTAGTTTGCAAATTAAATGAAACACTAAAATATTGACGTTACCGTGATATTTTATTTTGGAAAAAAAGTGTCTTCAGGGTAATAGACACAACATGCAAATCTTAACATGCAGCCGACGCAGAAATGTAAAATTAGGCGGATATGTCGTTACATACATGTACTCATTCAATGTTTTTGTACAGTAAGCATTTTAAATGATTTCAATTATGTATTTATTTTTGTTGGTTCCAGTCACGTATAAGCATCGTAGGTTTCTACATGTGAGAAAGCTATCAAGCTATCCTACGGAATGTCGCTTGTTCTACTTAGTTGCTCTTTTGAGCCTGAAATAACGTACAGAGGGGCACCTGACTTCTTCCTCTATCAGTAAAGCTGGTAAAGCTGGACAACGCAATATGAATTATATAGTAATACTACGTTGAAACGACGTACGTAAACCCCACCACATCTCCCACCCCAATGCTAGAAACGTACACAATTCCCTGTTTTTCTCACAATATTTATCTAAACAACAATATGCTATTTGGTTAAAGAAAATGTCACATTCTGAGGAGAGGGTAGAAATTTCTGTTTTATTTTGTGTATGCATGGTTCAGCTAGAACATATTCGTTTGTCTGATAAAATATATTTTCTGAAAGATACTTAATTTATTGTGACAGCATGAATATTGTCACTGCTTTCACTTTAGAACTGACAAAGGTTTAGAATATCCTTATTTGGGATTCAATTTCTTAATATATGTTTGAATTCATGCAGAGCAAAAACAAACAAAAACAAACAAAAAAACCAGCAAAAAAGCAACATGTCATTTAAACAGAGAAAGCTGTTCAATCATGATAATATATGTTACGTAATTCTGTCTCACAAGGAAGATTTTCTCTTCTGTCCGACAACAGGACATATTCTGACGTTTCATCGTGTATCATATCTTACATTTTTAGGCATGGATTACTTATTCATTAAATCATAAAAATATTTATTATGTATATCTCAATGTAAACGTGTGTCTGCCTTACACATGTTAATCCTGATTCTGAGATTCTGTCATTATGTTTATTTTTTTGATTAATTGCTTTTATATAACGTAGATGGGACCTTTTTTAAGAGCGAAGCTTTAAATATAAGTGTATCATTTTAAGTTTCTGTGCGTCTTCACGATGCAGGTAACACGTACAAGCCGACATGGCGACTAGGACCTTTATGTTTCAGTATTTGGGGAGGCTATGCCGACCCAATGTTAATAACCGTCCGTCAAATCTTACTGCCGCGGTAATCAGGTCAAAAAATAGTACCTTGATTTTTTCTAAGCTGATTCATCACTCATCACAGACATTTACAATATGAACTTTTATTTCATATCTGCGATTTGTAAAGATAGTAATTCTCTGAAAAATTCTTGATTTTTGTTTGTTATTTTTTCAAAATCACTACTCCGTGACGTCATACTGCCGCGGTAATCAGGTTTAGGCATACGTACGTTGGTAATAAATAGTTCTGGTATGAAAACCCTTCTATATAATAACTTTATCAATATTTTTTAAACAAAAAGCATAAATGAAAATTTATAGGTAAATGCTTTAATTAGATGGCAAAAATTCTTTATTAATTTTGATAACAATTTTCCAATTACTACACAGCGACCAACTGTTTATGACGGGTCATTAACTAGAACGTTGCAACACCGTAGTCTCAATATCATGCATGTTCTTTTGTTGTTATAAACCATTTATAGTCCTTAATATTTTTTTAAAGACAAATAATGGTAAACTGCCGCTTACATCAGAGACATGGATCATGCTTGCGTGATAACTAAGGAAAACTAACTTATTAGTACACCTTAGGAGGCTGTACGCGGAAAACGCTCATAAACCGCTATATCATATAGCTGTTAGTAAATATTTTGCATACATTTAACTAAAAATTCACTAATGGTGATGAACATATAGTTTGAAAACATTATATTCTTAAACCATGTATCGCCGAAAAAAAAACTATTTAACTACAAAATCCGTAAGGACCCTCCGACAAAATTTCACCACAAGATTACATTTAATATTAGCAAAAAAAAACAAAATAAAAAAAAAACAAGTAATACTTATATTTTCATCTTACATAATTCATTAATCAAACTTTTAACATAAAAGTATCTTTTAAAAATATGTCTGGCAATTGACAGATCCCTACTCTGATCTTTTATTTGTAAAGGAATAAATTTAAACATGTGCTCTTTTGTTTAGGAATATTTTGTAGTGAAAGTCTTAATATATCCACTAATCTCATAATTAGAATTAGACAGGTCAGGGATTTATACAACCAGCAGTTTAGTTATCTACGCTCATTTTAATCCCAATAGAAACATTCAAATATTTGGGGTAAAAAACATGACCAAAGTACCAAGTAGTCGTTAACTCGGTGGTGATCCCAATAAACTGATCATAGATTCGAATAGAAAACACAAATAGAAACATGTGTTTCGGTACAACAAAAATCGGAAGTAAAGTGAACAGTTAAATGACAGAACTATGTGGTCAAATATGTTTTTCAGAGAAAGACGCAAAGATCAGTCTTCAATCAAATGAATGACCCCGTATTGTGTAATTAGAAAGTTTATTCAATTCTAGGGCAACGAATCATAATTTGATTGTTCGTGTGTGATAAAATTTTCAATACAGATTATGAGATACATAAAATATTAAAGAATAAGAAAATTTAAATACAAAACATAAAAAACGCATATATATACGAATAACTTACAGTCGAGCATGGGAAATTCATCAACATACCTTACGAAATTTTAATTTGAAAATGATATTTGCGCGCGCTGAAGTGATTAATGTTTATTTGAATAAATCAAATAAAAAGAACTTATATGTTTGTGTTCTAAAAAAAATTGGCGGCATTAAACGAATTTCGTTTTCATTTTACAACATTGAAAAATTACTACAGAAAATATGTTGTTGTTTTATTGTTTTGTTTTCAACAAGAAATTGTGTGTTAAGTTCATTCATTCTCGGCACCGGAATAACCATATTTCCGAGATTATAGCATCGGGGACGTCTTTTTCAAGCAGAATCTTCCTTGTAGCCCATTCTTCGTTCGTTAATGGTAAAGGATA